CATGTTCAAACATGCAGCGGAGCGCTACAAGCATAGCGCTAAGCGCGCGCTCACGGTAGCGTTCACCTGCTTTGTATCGCACCGTCAAAACTGTTGCTCATGGCAGACGATAAGTAGTCGACGACACGTGAGTAGCGCTACATCAGAGCTTCGCTGCATGTGAGAACCGGCCTTTAGAAATGAAAAGTAGTGTTGCGAAACATTTTTGAAAAATATCAAAATTATTTTTATTGTTTTCTGGATGAGTGGACGGAAAAAGTAACGTGAAAGTAAATTGTAACGTAACGAATAAAGTAATCCGTTACTTTTCAGCGAAAGTAATTTGTAACGGTAATCCATTACATTTGAGAGTCAGTAATTTGTAATTGTAATCCCTTACATTTTTTCAAGTAACGAGCACAAGTCTGCAAAAACACCCCTCGCTCTAGGGTTACTATGTCTACCCAAATTGAGCGCTTTTCGGAAGGCCGTAAAATGCTGCGCGTGCCATATATCATGGTAATGTCGCTGTATTTAGTAGTTTTCCATGATGCACAGCAATTCTTATTGAAACCATCCTTTTAAAATGAATACTTGACAATTTAATCATTCAAAATCAATCATTTACGTAACTTATTGAAGGGTAATAATTTTTCTTAATGGGCCCTTTGACAAACCACTACGGCATAAACCTTTTTTTTTTTTTCGCGATTCTTAGTTTTCGCAGGAGCGATTTTGCCAGCGTTTCCGGAAACACCCTGTATGTCTTACACCGTGTTCCATATACTGGAAAGTGAACGCACCGAACTGTCAAACTTGCGCAACGCCGGAGATTCTGGAGCACTTTGTTGCTTTGACTGCAATTTTCTGGCATTTGAAAAACCTCATGAGCACCTCCTGCCACTGTGGGTTTCTTGGACCCAGTTTAAAGGATCGGAGTTTTCCCCTCTTGGCTTCTACGCAAAGTGCAGCAAAGTGCAGCTTCTAACTTTGTAGTAAAGTGGAGAGTTTAGCTAGTTGGTAAAATGACATCACATTAAAACAGTGCAGAAGCAGGGGGGGGGGGGGGGTGGGGGGGGGGCAGGAGGCCGAGGGGGCTAGCGTACGCAAGAGCCATATATCGACAGTGTTTAGTCACTGGGGGGAGCCGGGGGGAGCCCGGGTAGGGCGGGAAAGGCGTCGCCGCCGCCAGCGCCGCATATTCCCCCTGTGACGATACTGCGAAGTAAAATAAAGCCGGGATGACCTTGACAAAGCCGCGCATTGCGGCGCAGGTTTCTTTTTTTTTTTTTTTTTTTTTTTGTTCTGGACGAGGCTGAAAGTACGTGAATGGGTCTTTGTAAGATATTGGTGGAAATAGGGAGTCTAAGGTGCTGAGTGCTTTTACTGAGCCAGAAAATGGAACATTTACGAGAAAATTGTTTTGAAACAAGAGGTGAAACTGCGCCCATGGGTGTTCATGGTTAGGTTCAAAATTTCAGCGGAGTCGCGTCTACGGTTTTAGCTGCTCTCTCGGTCGTTGCCAATCCAAAGAGAGCATGGAGTGCATTCGGAATGTCGCTGTGACGTCAACGCCATGTGCGTTGCCCTTTCAGTCACTAAGAGTCGAAAATTTCAACTCTAGCGTGCTGAAATGAAATATTTGAATACATGCTTACTTAGCAATTGTGATTGTAGGGTATTGGATAAGCTCGTAACCTCCGCTAGGGGAATATATTTGGCTAGTCATTGGTCCCAAGAGCTGTAAATCATCGTGCCCAAGGTCACTGAAACAATTTCGGCAAATGACGTGCCCTTTTTTCGGCCTTTTCTTACCAATTAATGACCAAACTCTACATAAACGGCTCTGATGCACACCAGCTTGGAGCACGTGGTGCGAAAGGCTCGCGCTGCAGAACCCAGGATCCTGGGTTCAATCCCCACGCCCGTTTCGATCTAGATGAGCATCGTACCGGCGTGCGGTCGTGTATCACTACTGCGTGGTGCACGTTAAAGACCTCAGGCAAGCGGTTGTACGGCACTGGCTGAATTGCTCATCTACAGCATGAGGCACCGGACTCCCATTGGGGCTGACTAACGTCCGGCTGTATAAACATACGCACGACACACTTATATTACACGCACAAGCAGTGAGGAAGAGAACACAGAAAGCGGACTCCCAACTAATGTTTTCTAAAACACATCAGTTTTTTTGCTTGAATTCGATTGGTTCCCGCATGTGGTTTTCTTTTTTTTTCTTTTCCCTTATAGTACATCAAATTCATGTATCACTGCTTCTCCTCCTTTTTTAATGGTGCGTGTGTTTAAATTCTGATCCCTCGCCTTCCTGTTTATTTCACAACACACGCTATGTGAGTCAGCGTTCAGTGCTCTCTTCTCTTGCTCACTGCTTGTGCGCTGTTTTTAATATGATGCCTTTTCCTCAAAGAAAGGACTTCCGCACATCGACTCTTAAATTGATATCACCTGTCATCGAATAGGAGATGTTAGAGCGCCCTGATCACCCCGTAGAGTTATTATAATGTAAGCTAGAGATTCCACTGGCTCTAGAGTCTATACGACTTCCGGGATGCCAACTGATGCTGACAGCAACCAGTCTACTTTTGCGGTACTCCTGTGCGTCCCTATGGGGAAACGCGCGTGCATTTTGTCTATTCGACGGAAAATAACACGGATCACTTTTGTTATTTGTGTCGCACCGAATAGTATGTACCATTATTAATATTGTAAAAGTATATTTGCTTCAGTTACAGCATTTTTCTTCATCAGTGAACGACGTTTCCCTTCGCTAGATTTCAGGTCGAAACCTGTGTTCCGCAGAAGCTGTGTGAACACGATGGACGAATCTAACTAAAATAACAATCGAAAGGAATATGGAGTGTTTTCAAGGTCCGCCAGCATTCCGGTGACGCTTATATATGTTAATATGCCCGTCCTGTCACTATTTCAATATATGAACACGTCGTGCATATTTACGAGCGGTTAAAAACACTGAAAACGCAAAGTGTGAAGGTCGTGGGTTATGAAGGGTGGTTCTCTTTATTATTTCCTCTGCCGGGCAGCTTATTTCTGGAACTTGTTGACTGGCGTCTCCCTATTTTCAAAGATTTCGAGCGTGCGGGTGAGGTTTTGAGCATCGAACGGGCATCTTTGCACATATTCATGAGGAGAAAGTATAAAGCAGCACTTTATTGAAAATCGGACTATTTTACGTGGCTCGAATTTATTTTGGTCGTCTATATGCACAAGAAGTTACTGACACAGTATTACGGCGTACTTTTTGCTTTCTCTCTTAGTTTTTCAGATGTCCTTCGTTCGTTTGGAACGTATATCCCCCAGCCTGGAAAGCGCCGACGCCGTGTACGCGCTAATAGTGTCCTACAGTGCTCATAAACGCATTTACGAAGCCGTTTTTTCACTGTTTTTCATGCCATATATTTGGAAGAAAAACGCCGTAACTGACCAATTATTTCATCTGCGTGACTGAGAAATGTTCCAAGCTGTACGTACAAATTATTCGTTGTATTTGCTAACATAATAAAGCGCAAGCAGAATTTTCTACTGGTCGTTGTCTGCTTCAATTTGCAACGCCAGTTCAACCTCTAGGGTACAGAATAATAACTCTGTGGATCGTCCTTCACCAATTCGCTCCCCCTGGCTGTTGCACTCAGCCAAGGAGAGCGAGCGCGTTTAGAAGACGCGGCCATGGAATATTGGATCCGGCGACTGCAAGACGCGAGCAAAAGGGCGGCGTTGTAGCGTTCGATCGTGCCCGAGCTACGTTCCAATGCTGGCGCTTGTCAACGTCTGTTCATTGCCAACGAGGTAGAGGGCCTTAGAGCGGTAAACTGGCAGCTGAAAGTGACTCCCAATTGCCGCCGTCCTGTTGCCCATTTTTGACCACTAGACAAGTGACTTTATAGTTTTACGTCTAGATTCCAACGAAGTACCGCGCACAAATAATTACTTATTGATCTTCAATAAGAGTATACCGACGACATAAGTCGTTTCGTTTTTTTTTAGCTCCAAAATGTGGTCTTACGACAGAAACTCGGGCAGCTTCGCAATGTCTCCGCTAGATGCCGTCAACCGCGGTGTTGTATTTGGCTGTTTTTATCGGAGCTAGACTTGATTTCTGGAGCTAACAGTATTAAAAAAATAGTTTATCATGTTTTTTTTTCAGCAATCCCAATACAAATCTCGGCTCAGTTGTCCATAAAAGCCTCAGGATTTGGTACCTAGTGGTCAAAATTGTACAACATGGCGGCAGCCAAGTGGGGTCACTTTTGCCTGTTGAACGGGATACCAGTTTATCGCTTTAAACCCCTATCCTCGTTAGCTCATGCCCGTATAAGAAAACAAAATAAAATGAACAAAAATGCACGGCTCCTGGCCTTAGTGTCCTATCAAAACGCCAATAATGCAATTTTTTCAGTTGTTTCATGTATGTTTTTTACGGCGTTTTTTAGCAACGTGATGGAGCGTAAGAACGCGCAATCGAAACGCGAGATAAAATATTCGATTTGGCTCCCGAGGGGCGCTGCCCCAAACTTCAGCTACACCTCTACAGCCGCCTCTGTGGTTCCGAGGCGAGGCGCCGGCCTGAGGTCCCAGGTGGCGGGTTCGAGTCCCGGCCGAGGTGCCCGCAATCTGACGGGGGATTTTTGCGGAGAAGGCTCCGTGTAACCGAGATTTCGGTTGAACGTCGGAAAATGCCCAGGTGGTCGAAATTACTCCTTAGCCTCCCACTGGGGCTTGCCAGATGCCATCTGTTGGTTTAACGCACACACAAAAAATGTTTAATTTTGTTTATAGCTCTAACCCCGAGCTTCAATATTCCCCTTCCTGCCAGACTCAGCCACTCCCTGCAAGGAAAACGGCAGTGATATCCTGTCAATGTCCACAGGGCATCATTAGGACATTCCCAGGATGCCTGCAGAACCAGGTCTTCCAGTCTAGCGTTGAATGCATTCCTACCACCGCTCACCACCGTCACCATATATTGTTCCAAAAGGTCTCACCACTGGAAACCCAGCCGTCACTACTGAGAACTTCGGCAGTCGCTTGTGGCTTGTTGTGGTAGCAAGTCATGACCGGAGGGCCCCGAAATACGAGCTCTCCCCACTTTCCAGGACCGAGCTTTTCTCCGGTGGTTCTGTCAAGAACCTGAGGGTAAAAGACAGGCCGATGCGATCAATGCGAGAGTGCTCTAATACCCTAGTTACACTAGCGCTCTTAGCTGTCATTAAGCCAGCGACAGTTGATTCAATCGCGATCGGCCGGATTAAGACGGCGGCGCCAACGTTCATTGAGTCGGCGTCCGCCGCATCGCCCCCAATGGCCAGCGCCAGCGAAGCACTTCTTACTGTAGAAGGTTGGGGGACGTATCTGGAAAGTATCGCAGAAGCAAATATTGTCTGAAGAGGTACGATTCAGGGCCTGAGCTGCCGCTAGAACGATCACGGCTGGTTGCAGAAGTCAAAGCTCTGCGAGGGCCACCATTGTGATGTCGGTGCCGTTAAGACTTTCATTATATTTCTCGCTTGAGTTCTGTGAAACGTTCTGATTATCGTTTCTTTACTACTCTAAAAATTAAAAAAGAAAAGAAGTTAATTTTTTTTTGTTTTAAACGTTTGACATGAATGAAAAATGTGCATATAATTAATTTGTGTCACTTTATAAGAAAAGGTAATGTGACATAAGTTTTGGTTTTGTTTCGGTTTCGACTGTGTCCTTTGACGCGCATCTCAACTCGGATTGTAGGACCTATGTACCGTGTAACACCAGACAACTTAATCGCGCTCAATGGCAGTTGGGAGATGCCAAAGATCGTTGACTTAATGATAGTCTAGAGCGGTAGTGTAACTAGGGTATAAAACACATTGAAGGCTGATTCACACAGTTCCGTTTTTTTACGTGTTCTTACGCTGTGTGTGAGCCATCGCAACGTTCGTTTCTCGAATGTCGCGTGAATCAGGTACAAGTGTAAAAATAATGTCTCTCTTGGCAGGTTGGTGGTTGGAGCTTCATTTTTCGGTTTTTATTGTAAATTCAAGGCAGACGCTTGACTGCGAAACAGAAGTTCAATATTTTTTTCCAAAAAGCTTGCCATTGGGAATACAGTAACACCTCAGAGTAAATACGAGTATGTCCCAAATTTGCAATATATCGGAGGTTATACGCGAGTTCCACTTAGGAATATAAAAATCGATAGCGACCAAATCGGCTGGCCGGTATGTTTTAGGCTGGCAGTTAGAAGGCGATTAAAAGTTGCATCGAGCTTGCAAGAACTGGTCTAGGGAGGAAAAGGGGAGACAGTAGAACGGTCGAAACAGACAATGCCTCGAGACGTGCAGGATTTTGGAGTTGGTGGTTGTAAGACGAATAGGAGAGGGATATATTTTCGCAGGCGCAAGAAACGGGTGCTATATACCATCACAATATTTGCCTTCCTCGCATTGCCGTCTTTTTTACTGTGCTGCAGAACGCGTCCCGAACATGCGCATTTACTCTCTTCGGCGGAATATCATATACGCAGCGCATGGGTACACAGCCCGGTGGCATTTTTCCTCGCTGGAAAGGAGTATATTGCAAGCTTAGAGTAGCAGGACAAGCCCCTCCTTCAAAGAACTCGACTATTTATACTTGAGCCGAGCGAGCGCTGGACAGGAGGCGAGTAGGGAGCAGAAAACCACGAATCCTGAAGAGGGCTTTTCTTGCTTTCCTGTAGCAGAGTCTAGTTAACAGACCTTGAACTGCATGTTGGACAACGGGTGACCGATGCTGTGGTATTGCATGGCGTCGGGCGGCGTGATGCAGGTAAAGCCGGAGGCCTCGGACAGGCCGTAGCCGTTGCGCATGCTCTCCAGCTGGAACACCCTGGAGATGCGCTCGAAGAGCGCCTCGGTCGTCCGGCCGCCGCACATGACCAGCCGCTTGAAGGACGGCATCCGGACGTCCATACCCTCAAGCTTCATGACGAATTTTTGGAAGGCGGTCGGGAACGCGCACAGCGCTGTGATCTGCGAGAGAAACGGGAAAGAAACTCGGCTTACTCGCGCGGCAGCATTCAGCCGATGGAGTCAGCAGTGTCAGGGACTCGTCGTGCGACACTGTTAGCGTGTACTAGCTGCCCACAATTTTCTCACCGGTGAACACCGTGTGGTGTCCTGAGGACACGAAGAAAGGGCCGACCAGTCCGTTCGAAAGTTGAACGAAAACTATCTTTTCATGTCAGTGATTGGTTGCCAGATGACATTATGTTATATACAGCGTTGCCAAAATAAAAACATAACACAACATCTCCCCCCCCCCCCCCCCCTCTGAAAAAAACGAAACAACTAAGTGAAAGATAGCTAATTCATATAAAATTCCTGCAGACGGGTGGGACGCCGTCGTTCTCTTGTCGACGGTTCTCTGCGAGGTCCGTCCGTCCACGTCTTTCCTTGAGCCTGTGTAGGCGCTACATAATCTTCCAGCCGATGTCTAGCAACATGACTTTCATCTTCTGACACTTGTACCTGCCACGTCAAAACTTCCTGCCGTTGTTCTTCAACGGAATGTGGTCCAATCATAAATTTTTATAGGCGTCGCCGATGCTTATAGGTGATGTTCCTCAACTGAGTCTGCGCTTCCTGAAACTTGACATGGCGTTGGCAAAGCTCCGCGATTCTCTCCGACAGAATATTCGCCTCGGTTGCCCGAGACGGTTCTTCTGGCTGACTGTTCTCGATCTCCAGGAATGGGTAGCAAGTGTAACAACCGTTTCCCTCTTTCCGTGAGACATTCCTCAGGCACAACCACCAGCTTGGAGGCACTCCAGCTGCGTCCATCTTCCAGGCGGAAAGTGCCTGGACCCAACTGTTTCTGTACTTTCAGTGGTCGGGAATAAGAAAGCTCACCCTTACTGATACTTGCGGGTTTACGGTCCCGCACCTAACCTCCCTCCTTGAATATTGGAGTTTCGGCACTTCTTTTCGCGTCTGTATACTCCTTCGTCGAGCTCTGCTTGATTTGGACACAAGCTCGTAACTGTTCCCTTGCTGTGGCTGGCTCCAGGAAGAAGTTCTTTGATGGAAGGGCAATGATGTCAAGTCGGGTCTTTGGTTGGCGACCGTGGAGGAGCTGAACAGGAGACACACCTGTGATCGAGTGTGGGGTAGACCGGTGTACACCCGAGTAGACCACGACGGCTTCTTTAAGCGGTCGTCCTTCCAGAACTGAATCTTGAATAAAGTCCTTCAGGCTCCTGTTGAATCGTTCGACCAAAACATTGACCTACGTGTAGTATACCAACGAGACACAGCGTTTGATTCCTCTTTGGTTCAGGAATTCTTCAAAAAGACTCGACTTGAACTGTAGCCCGTCGTCTGTCACGAGTTCTTCCGGGTGGTCCTCCCGACTGAACTCGCTTCGCAAGAAATCTATCACCGCTCGTGATGTAACTGTATTTGCAAAACAAACTTCCGGCCACTTAGAATGGTAGTCCACAAGGGTGATGACAAACTTGGGACTTGCGGTGGTCAGGTGCAGCGGACCCACGATGTCCATAGCCAGCTTCTGCCAGGGCTGTTCCGGGTGGGTAACCAGGCGTACTGGTGCCACGACCGGTTGTACTGACTCGTCAGCTGATTGGCACACGTGACAGCTTCGCACGGCATACTCCACCTGCCTGTCCATCCGGGGCCACCAGAACTTGTCTCAAAGTCTTTGTTTGGTTTTCGCGATGCCAGGGTGTGCCTCGTATGCAAAAGAAACCAAGTCCGAGGTCAGCAAATCCGGCACAACAGCTGTGTCTTCCCTTAAGACTATGCTAACCACAACGGACAATTCCTCCCTGAGCTGGAAGAAAATGGGCTCCTGAGTGAGCATCCTCTTTGCTGGCCGCTCCTTCTCGAGATATTTGGTCACTAGCTGTAGGGTAGGATCCTTGCCCGTTGCGACTTCCATTTGATCCTTGGTGATGCAAGATGACACCAAAGACACAACTTGTTCCTCCATCTCTGGCTTTGCTGCTGCCACCAAAGGTAATTGGGACAGCGCATCCGCGACAGCATTTCACTGCCTCTTTGATGGATGATGTCAAAGTTGTAGTAATGGAGTCTTGCTGACCACTTTGTGATTCGTAGGGGCCTCCAGCCAGAACCTCTAGACGATAGCAGAGTCACCAGCGCCTGGTGATCGGTTCTAAGTAGAAACCTTCGGCCCCAGAGGTAGATGTGCCAATGTTCACAACCGAACAAACACGCCAGAGCCTCCTTTTTCCCAGCAGAGTACCTCCGCTCGGTAGAAGTAAGGGACCTGGATTCAAAGGCCACAGTGTGTAGCTCTCCCCCAGGTTGTTGCTGAAGGACGGCTCCAAGGCCAGTGTCTTATGCGTCGGTGGTCAGAACTACTGGAAGGTTAGTGTCGAACATCTTAGTGACGTGACATGACGAAATAACCTCTTTGATCTTCTGAAAGCTTCTCTGCGATGCGTCATCCCAAGGGAATGCTTGGCTCTGACGCAGGAGTTTTCTGAAAGGCTCGACCACATCGGAATAGTGTGGCACAAAACGGGAATAGTAGCCTGCGAGTCCCAAGAATGACCGCAGCGCTGAGACGTCATTCGGTGCTGGTGCTTGAACGATGGCCACCACCTTCGAATGCAGATGAGCGAGCCTTTCCTTGCCCACCACATGTCCGAGGAAAGAAAGCTGGTCCACGTCGAACACGCACTTGTCATTCAGTTGGAGTCCCAGCCTCGGAAATGCACCTCAGGACAGGTCTCAGGTTTTCTTGGGTCTCGCTGGTCGTCTTCCCCTAAACGATCACATCATCGATGTAACGGAGAACTCCACTGCATCCTTTCAGGATGAGCGACATCATTTTTTGGAAGGCAGCCGACTCCGATGCAAGTCCGAAACAGACGCGCTTGAACCTAAACAAACCATCGTGGGTGACGAAAGTTGTCAACTCACGGCTGTCGGGCGTCAGTTCGACCTGGTGGTACGCAGATGCCAAGTCGAGCTTTGAAAACCTGGTAGCACCCACCATCTGGTGCAGCAGCTCCTCAGTAGGGGGAAGTGGGAACCCATCCACGATGATGACTTTGTTCGGTTCTCTCAGGTCGACGCACAACCGAATCGTACCGTCCTTCTTTCGAACCACGACAATGGGTGAAGTCCATTCTGACGCATTTACCCACTCAATGATATCGAGACGTTCCAATCGTAGCAACTCTTCAGACACCTGTTTGCGTAATGTAATGGGCAATCTGCGTAGCTTCGCGGCGACTGGCTTCACCAAAGCACGGACCCTGACTTGATGGAGGAAGCCCTTGGCCAGACCAAGCTTCACCGCGGTGAATGCTACGCGGTGAATGCTTGGCCAGACCAGCATTCACCGCGTAGATTCACTGGTAGCACCCCTGAAGAAGGAGTGGAGTCGACCCCGAGACGTTGGGAACTCTTCGTTTCTAAACTTTTGGTTTGAGTTTTTTTTTTTTTTCGAATTGTTCCCCAAACCAGACATATTTCTCCACCTGCGCTCCACTGAGTGTGCGACTGTTTGTAGACAGCTGAGCGTGTCGTCGTGGATGTTCAGTTGCAGGTTCTGAATGGCATCCAAGTCGAAGAAGTGACTTGCCGCGATGTACAATATGGAACAAAACACACGCGCGTGTGTGTTTGTAGGCCACGTCAGCCCCCCCCCCCAAAAAAAAAAAAAAAAAAGAAAGAAAAAACAGCCTTTAACTGGGATGCGCCTCTTGGAGTAATCCAGCAGCGTCACCGTAGCGTCAGTCAGCGAGCGGAAAGCGAAGTGCTTGTGCAAGATATGTTTACTTAGAAGTGAAACAGGCGAGCCGGTGTCTACCAGAAACCGCAACGCCACGTTGTCAACGTCGATGTCGACGTAGAGATAGATCCCTTTCCCTTGTATGTTGTCAGGGTTCAGTTTGAAAATCGTGACCGAGTTCGTGGCCGCCGACGATTCTTTTGCTGCATGATTTTCCTGCCGCCCTTGTCCCCGCTTCGACTTGCACACCGCAGCAAAGTGTCCCCGCTTGTTGCAATTGCGACTAGTGTTATCTCTGGCCGGGGATTCCTTCGCATTCGCGCGGTGCGCAGTCGAACCGCAACAGCACCACCACGCAGTCAACGCATTTCCGGTACCCCCCCTCGTCGGCTTGTCGACAACTCGCTGGACGACGGGGTCTCCGGTAAGCTCCTTCAGCTCTTGCTGATTTTGTTCGATGTGCCTGCCGAGGTCGATCGCGCGGTTTAGTCAGACTCGTTCCTTCGAAGAGCAGGCGCTCGCATATCTGCTGCGATGCTGTCCCCTCTAACAGCTGATCGCGTATAGTCTTGTCACCTGCCTCTCTGAAGCTGCAGTCTGACGACAACTCACGCAGGGCGGCGGCGTAGGCTTCGAAGGCTTCACCTGGCATTTGATGGCGCTGATGAAAGCGATGTCTTTCCATCAGTGCGTTCGTCGTAGTCGAGAAGTAGTTGTCCAGCACGGCCAGCGCTTTGTCGAATACGTTCTTTTCGTCTTGCCCTTTGGTGACTCCTTCCTTTTCTTTTTCTTTGATGGCTGATGCCGGAGGAGTCGGTGCCACACTATTGTAGATCTGCTGTCCTTCCAGGCTCAGCGCATTTAGGAGAATAGCCTTCCTACGCTTTGGAGCAAAGTCATCGCCGCCAACGGCTTCCAAGTAGTTGAGGAAGGCTAACTTTTACTGCCGCCACGGCACGCGGCTGGTCCCGGCGTAGTGAGGAACGGAGGTGGTGACGGACTGTAGTTAAACTTGGCGTCGGATCACGGAAGAAATCACAGCAGGCAGTAGCAGACCAGACAGGGTTCCTCAACGGTCTTCACTCGTCGCCATTATGTGGTGTCCTGAGGACACGAAGGAGAGCCGACCGGTCCGTTCGAACGTTGAACGAAAAGTATTTTTTTATGTCAGTGATTGGTTGTCAGATGACGTTATGATATATACAGCGTTGCCAACATAAAAACAGAACAGAACACACCGTCTCTTTTGATTTACGAGTGCAGCCGTTTGAAAACAGGTACCAGAGACCGGAGGTGCCAGACGCCGCGTGGTGATAAGACAAACACTTTCGTGGCGTTCTTAATGATGGTGTTGAATCTCCAAGTTCAGAAATAGTATGACGCCATATAGAGGAATACCGATCATAACACAATAACAATAGCCATAGCACAGTGTCTGAATCATGACGGCTCTAGTAATTATGTTTGATATTCAGTGCGTACATTATACTTTTTGGATGCAGGTACCTATCTATGACCTCCAGAAGGAGGTAGACAAAGATATCGCTATCCCTAGTAAGACATATTTCCTCTTTGTTCGCACAACAAATATAGCAGCTGGGCTCACTTGATATTCGTTGATGGTATTGACAAACTGGTCGGCGGGAATTCCTCCGTGGGACACGATGCCCTTGGCTCCGCTGACCAGGGCGGTAGCGGCGAACAAAAGTCCAGACACGTGGGAGATGGGGTTCCAGGCAAGTACCGTGTCCTTCGCCGTAAACACCTCGCAGCGGCTAAGGGTAAAGAACAACCAGCCAGGTGTAAAGGACCGTGCAAACAGTACACAACAAATACCGTGTACAGCAAATAATAATAACAAAAAGTACGTTTTTAAGAGAACGTGAAAGGTGCGGCGCGCGCGTCCGTATTCAATGAGGACGTCAGCCACGCCAACAGCTGGTAAGAATGGATCAGCGCAAATGGTGAAGCGGAGCACCGCAAGCAAATCCTCGACTCGTTTTTGTACTTGATCGAGTTAGCAGGTCTCTCCTCCTACATCTAAAGCATCTCATCATCCGCTGTCCCAGCTCACTTAAGTAAAAAGGGCTCGGTGTAACTTTCTGTATTAAACATGTATTCATTCATTTCCTCTTCGCCTCCTGTCTCCCCCCCTTCCGTATTTTCATGAGAACTGACAAAAGCGGAGGCCTCGACGACAACCAGCAGGGCGCGTGACTGGCTGTCCGAACCCGCGTGATGAGTACGCTCCAAGTTTCTGCCGAAGACAGAAACAAAAACTGGCTTTCTCACCGGCAAAAAAACAAAAAAAAAAAAAAAAACACACACTCAACAAAACAAACAAAAGTCCCAATGCTGACGGGAACATTGGAATCGAGAGAAAAACATCCACCTCCGTTACGAAAGAACACCGTGTACGGTATATGCTGTGTTTTGTTTGGAGAGTCCTTAGCTCGACTGTCCGCTGTAGACGTTGGCAAACTTTTACGCGCTGTATATCTGAGTGTAACGTCATCGTACCAGACGCCACGCCCAGTTCACACCAGCGTAGACCGAATTTTTCGATCGATACACTTCCTGGGGTCTTGCAATATGCTGAGGATCCTCACGCAGCGCCGCAGGGACAAACTTCTCTCGCGATCCTCTGGGATCTAGACGGGCGAACGTTTCTTCAGGGCGAACTGTATATATTTGAGGGCCGTTGCTTGGCTCCTCATGGAAAAAGGTTCCACAAATTTACAGGAAAGAAAGAAAACACCCCCCAAATTATTTATTCTAGTTACGTCGTCATCAAAGGGAATGCAGTTTGGCATTCTTTAACCAAACATTCTAATATATAATAAAATCTTTCAATTAAGTAAGCGCTATTCTGGAAGTGTCTAAGAAAGCTATAATGCTGTAGATGTATAGTGAATAAAAAAATTGCGCGATAGCCCACACGGGCAGGAGAAAAGTGTTCCTGCCTTGGCTTTTGCAATGTTCACTAACGTAAAACAAAAGCCGCCGGATTACTGTTTGCGACCGCCTTTATTCTGGAATTTTTCTCAGAATGCCATACAGACATGCATCTTTTGTGAAAAAAAAAATCTGCCTCGAGGTTTTCGAGCCACAGCAAACTAAGTTATAGTTCAATCGGATAGTTTAAAGTGACCGTTACACTGGTGAAGTGGATCATGTTTCTCCTGATTCGTGTCTCAGATCACACAGCTGAAATTGACCACAATAATTGCGCTATATTTACGAATATAACGTACGGCTTCCCTACAATTACCTGGGGAACCGTATTATATCTAGACTTTTTTTAACGCGATTTGGATAGCGTAAAGACGCTTTCTTAACAACTGATAGTGACAAGCTTTAGTAAAACCACAGATCTGCATTACGCCGTCAAACTAGCAGTGTCTGATGTCTACTTTTTTAAGAGGAAGCTAATGTCACATCCAGTTTTTTCTAGCGGGATCCTCGTTTAAAAGTTTGACGTAAATATTGCCGCGCGCAGGGCGGAGCAAGCAACGCCCGGTCACGGTATTTGAGAAGATTCGCGTTTATTCTTACTCGGGGCGCGATGTTTATCATTTCGCCCTAATTTCTTGTTCTCGAGAGTGCCAGTTAATTGTCCCCCCAAACGCTCGATGCTCGAACTTTCTGGGCTGAATTTTCGCGGTGCCGATGCACACTAGATAAGGAGCTGCGCGGGACTTCGTCGAGTCAGTCTCGCTCTCGCTTGCTGTTACGCCGCCGAATCGCCGCTTGCTTTTCTGCTGTCTCGACGCTTGTTCTTTGTTTTGTCTGGCATAAGTTAGCCGATTAAACCTTTATTTTTAGTTCACTGTTCACCCTCTCATCGCCTTCAATCGTGACAATATTTTGCTTCAGTACTAAAGTGTTGTCAAGGCTGATCTTTATATCTAATTCATTTATGTGCCGTGAAACTGAGAGGGAGAGGAGGAGACGTCAGAACGCCGAGCTCTGATTGGAACGATTAGTGGGTAGACCTAAAGCTAGCTGCCTTTGTCTCTACTACACTCGTCGAATGCGCTCAAAGGCGAGAGCCAAACGCCGGACGCCAGTGTTCTGTGTCTTAACGCATTCGACGAGTGCAGTGCAGACGAAGGTCTGGTCTACCCACTAATCGTTCCAATCAGAGCTAGGCGTTCTGACGTCCCTCCTCCTCTCTCTTAGTTTCATGGCGCGGGGAAATTTCATGGTGTCTGGTATTTAGAGTGTATATCGAGAAGCTTTGTTTTTAAGATATGTGGATTCTGGTACAGATTGTTTGTGCATGGTCAATGTTTTCACTCAAAGAATTGTCTGAAAACCCCAATAGTTGTGGAATACATTTGTGTAGTCTCACTTTAAACTGATTAATCTATCGAATTCGGCACTTTAAATAAATCTGATTACTCGTGCGAATATTTATTGTGCTTCATGATACTGGCAAGTTATTTTAATTCTGATTTCCGAAAGCTGAATTAATGCCGGACACGGCGAGTTCATCGCCCCGCAGATAATCAGATTGCGGCGAACTGCCCAAGAACCAAGCAACAAGTAGAAAGGTAATCGGCCGCAGCTTTCTTAAACAGTGAGTGACTCCAGTAACCCGATTTGGCATACGGCTCGTCTCCTCAGGTGGAAGTTGGAATCCCAGCCGATCGAGGAATTTTGACGGAGGCTTATGCGGAGGAGGCGCCGTGTAACCGAGATTTCGACGTCAGAAGATCCTCGGGTGGTCCAAATTAATTCTCCCCTGGGGCGTGCCAGATGTTCTTCGCTGATTTGGCACAGCCTCACATTTGAGTTGAGGCTGCCCGGCACTCGGGGACGTACCAGTTGAGCTTGAGGGCGGCTATGAAGGCGTAGTGGCTGATCTCGACACCCTTGGGCAGACCCGTCGTTCCCGACGTGTACGTGTAGAAGAGCGTGTGGGACCGGGGCTCTTGGATGGCCGGTTCTTCGAAGTCCGACTCCTCGAGGCTCTGGAAACTGCTCATTGACTGGAAGCCGGGGATGTCGTCCAGAGAAAACATGGCCTGAAAGAACGGGGAAACACGAAGGACAAATGCTAACACGAATTTATTGTTTGGGCGGTTCAGTGTGTTGATGAGTACTATACGAAAGAGGTAGGTGAATGCCCGTGTCGGTCTGCATTGTCTTATATGCAGTGTTTTTCTTGTCACCGAAAAAGTGACGCAGTACAGTTACCCGTTAGTTTGCCGAAACTTAACGCATTACTGAGACTCGTTAGCGTCCGCCAAAGTGACGAAGTACCGTAACCGTTGCTTCCAAAACGAACGCTACTCTTAAGTTATTTTAGGTTTTGGCATTACCTGGCAGCGATGAGTTACAGGCACACTGTTCGACAATAATGGAACATTTACGAGTGTGTTTGTTTAGAATAGTTTTATCAAATTTGAAAGAAAAAAGTTTGTAACATTTTTATTGGATTAACACTGCTTTCTGAGCGAAAAGATTGCGAAATGATGCCGAGGAAAACGTATTAATATTTTTGGCGCAGTTTACAAAATTCAAATGAAACTGTTTTTAACTTGGAAACAAATATCAGTCAAAAGTCACGAGTAACATAATTGGATAGTCGATACCATAAAATAACAACCAGAATAATTTACTTAGTCATCAAGAAATCCAACAAGGCCGTCAGTGTGTTACGAAAAGTAGTCGGTTAACGTCGTTGCTTCCAACATGGCCTGAAAGAACACGTCCCTCCTTTGTATTCATATACAAACTGATAATGTTATACACACTTCTAAGCTGCATGAAAAAAATGATAAAGTTTCTCTAAAACAGTATTGTTTTCTTGAAATGGTCTCTACGAACAAGAGATGATTAAGCGGAGCATTCACTAAAAATAGCTTTTCCTGCGCCCTCTAGTAGATACACCTTTTTGCAACATCTTATCGCGTTACTTACCCAGGAAACACCTACCAAAATCTAAGAAATTAACTATTTTGTTCCACTTTTGCTTAAATCACAGAAGTGCCAAAGGAGAACGATGATTCATATAAGATTGGCTTGCCGGTTCATGTTCCTTTTAAACGTGCGCAGATTCATCCATCGCAACTTTGAGACCAGGGTAAACAACAGTGGCGAAACATCTAGGGCAAGACCCGTACCAAGACACTACGCTGCAATGTTTAAACGTTCATTTAAGAGCACCAAAGGGACGCTAACCCCCCCCCCCCCCCCCCTCCTATCCCCCTCCGCCCCCCCACCAAAAAAAAAAAAAAAATGACAGAAAGCAAATTTTACATAAAACGAAGTTTGGTGCAAAATCTACACTGCAAGACACATTGCGAGGTAGAATTGACACCAAAACCAACTTGTAGTTTGAGATGTCGCCATCGATTTAAAGGTTAGCTTCAATGTTCCTCCTTACTCGAAATCTGTCTCGCGACGTAAATATTAAGCAAATTTTTAACTCCTATTATGACATACGTAGCCCATTAAGGGGCTTAAAAATGTTTTCTGTAACTTTATTGCTTTATTACTCGGGCACATTCAGCTTATAAGTGAGGCGAATGTTTTCCGAAACGCCCGTGACTCACCTTGAAAGTCTTCTTTTCGTGGATGCGGAGGACCTTTTCGGCGTTGGCGAACTCCGTGATGACGAAAGTGGACCCGCTGTCGTCAATCTGGTACAGGAGCTCCCCTTCAAAGACATCACGTGGTCAACGTCATTCTGCGCTCAGTCGAAAGTAAGTTCGCACATGCTGGCGTGTGAATTAGTAAACGCGAGCAAAAGGGAAACTGCATTACCAGAGCCTTTGAAGGGTGCTTTTAAGCCCGCTCCCGGGTGATATCATGACCGCGGGGCGCTCGCTTAAAAGCAATTGCCTAAAATGCCCTGAGGTTTCTTCTTTTTTTTTAGATCCCCTAAATATGACAACAAATCAATCGACGGGCGCTGAGCATCCTAAAATCCCATAAATCCTAACGATGCGCGGCCGTTTTCCCTATAAAAAAAGCCATCAAAGATCGAACACACCAAGGTAACCTCCGGCGATGGGAGGAGCATTGTGCCGGCAGCCGAAACCAGTGTCAGCCAAAAGCGAGCGAATGATCCTAGAGCCTCCGGCCGGTGGAACCGCGGAGTGATATCTCGAACACGCGCTGCTGGTTGTCCGTTCGAGGCGAGAGGTTTGGCTATCGCCGCCTGGTGGAATTTTTTCCTCTGCTGGTGCCAGCACGTGCAATGCCAAGTTTCTATGCCGTAGGAAAATTAAAATGTAATTGCGTGGGTCGAATGTGCACTGCCCATAGCGAGGAAAACGAAAGCGCCCCTAGCGAGCTTCTCACCGCAAATGCAGCTTAGACCTTCGGCGAGAGTCGCACTCTCGTAGCACCATCTAGCATACAAAATGAATCGTGTGCCATCGCAGCCGTCGATTCATTGCGCCATGGCTCTTGCTAACCTGACGCCTCTCGAGGAAAAGACGCGTCGACTAACAGCCGGAGCTTCATCTGACGAAGCTTCACCTCGATTTCAGTCTCTGGGGATGCATGAGCCGCCAGTATTGACGACGTGAAGTGTCCGAAACCCGCGGTATAGGTAGGCATAAATGGCGTGGCAGGTCTGCCGGAAACATTCGATGGCAAGTTTTTATTACGCAATTATGGATTGACGCCTTGGTTGAAATGCATATTTTAATTTATATACAGCTTGTCTTCCCCAAAAAATGCGGTATTTCCCCCCCGAAAAATTTAACTATGCATCGCAGATCAGTTTTTCTAAATGTTAAACCAGGTGCTTAAGTTTTAGTGCGAACCGCTATTTTATCCAAAAGTTATAAATGACTTTCTGAAAATTCCGATAGGAAAATGGGGTCCTTTTGAACCGTTTTTGCGGTAATTGGCTCCAGAGAGCTCTATGTATTCGGAAGTTCTGTCGGCCGCCATTTTTCTATTCAAAAAATAAATCTCTCTCTCTCTCTCTCTCTCTCTCTCTCTCTATATATATATATATATATATATATATATATATATATATATATATATATAACTTTTGAATAAGAACGGTTATAGCTGAAACTTTGGGATCTGGTTAGAACCACTAGGGCTGCAGTTGGGCGGGGAATGAGCGTTCGGCGAAGCGTGGCTTAATTCTGCCGCGAAAGCAACCCCGTCAATTTTGTTTCGGGATATCGTGGTTATTTTAAACGCGAACGTCTTTCTCCAAGTGCTGTATTGAGAGGTCGGGAAGAAGGGGGTGAAGACTTGCTTTCGGTGAGCACTGGCTTGGCCAGGACAACCGCTGCACCTGCGGAGCAGACGGCGTACGAGATGACGAAGGCCTGCACCGAGTTGGACAGGTTGACGCAGACGCGGTCTCCGGGCCGGACGCCGTGGCGCTGCAGCCCCGCCGCGTAGCGACGCAGCAGGCTGAGCACCTCGACCGCGCTCAGCCAGACTCCGTCGGCTTCCTGGGGGACAGAGCGGAACGGTTACCAGAGGGCCGCTGGGCACTGGCACGCAAGCCCCTTTTAATCCTGAAAAGGCTCGAAATGAGAACTGGACGCAGGTTTACACCAGCGGCAATCGGTCATAAAAACCCCAAAGAAGGACTTGCTATTATGCTTTCTGCTGACTTTAGACAAAACTGAGCGACATTTACTGCAATCAAAAGCCGCTAACTTGTTTACGCGATAATAACCTATCTCGTTTACACTCACATTATCTTTCAAGCTGTAAAAAAAGCAAATATATCGAAGTTACTTGATTGCGTCTAAGGAAGGCATTAACTATCCCATGGAGCGGAGCCCGCGGCGTCTGTAACCGCAAAAGAACGCGAAAGAAATGCCCGTGTTCCCATTGGCTGAGCGAAAACGGCTCCTAGATAGCCATTGGCGGCCGCTTCACGAGAGCGCGCGCTCGGCCGCCGCTCTCGTGTCACGCGTTGCTGGAGGGGGGCTTTCGGCCGCTTCTGGGCCGGCTTCCTAGAACAGCGTCTCAGCTGAGGCTGGCTGAAAGAAGGCACTGCAAAGGCTGGGGCGCACGAGGGCGTCTTGAGAGGCGGCAAGGGTTCCATTCAGCCCGCGCACTGGCTTTGACACTGCTTTCTTTCCCCGCGTCTCAGCTGAGACGCTGTTTCTAGGACGTCGGCCCTGCTCTTCTCGGCGCCGAGGAACAGGGCGTCGCCTGAGGCATCTACATCGCCGGCGGCCGCAACCTCGGCAGTAGCGAACCGTGCGCCTTCACGCCAGTACACCGCAGACGAACTAATGGAGCGGAAAAACGACATTCGCATTTACAACTCATAAGGAGTGCTAAGGTGTCCTAGGGATTTTACTCTGCAGTTTAAATTAGTTTTAGAAACACTAAACGCAAAATTTGAAAAAAGGTCCACGATATGCAAACGAGCATGTACTTAAGTTTGCCTGACAGAATTTCGGATATTTTGTGTTGAAAAATAACGGCTCTACAACTGTACTACGAAACAATGTTCGCCTATTCTGGCAATTTTTATTTATATTCCCACAAGCCCTGCCACAAACATTGAGCTTTAGTTTTAATGACATTTGGCATACATTTTGAGGCTATACCCATTATTAACTGTTACAAGTTTCAGACGTAAACACCGAGCAGTTGTCGTAGAAATTGATCGTGAATTTACTCGCATGAAACCTATATTACAAAAAATATAGCTCTCACTATAAGACGAAAATAAAAAAAGTGTCACGGCATGCAAAGCAAGCACTCTTTATCTACACCTCTTAAAGGGGTCATGAAACGATTTTCCTACTTCTTTATCCTTAGCTTAATCCTCAACTCAAATGCAAATTGTGAAATCACGTGATCGTGACATTCCTTCGGCACCGGTGCGATGACTCCTAGCTTCCACCGTGCTTTTTATGCACACCATAGAACTTGTCATTCCCCAGTGACAATAAGTTCCGTCTGGGCACTCATTGGCCACGAACGCGAATCCGAATATTCGTCGACGGATTGATTGTTGACGAGCGCATACGTCCGAGTGACGCAGTTCTCGTTTCCAATGCGTGAGCTGGGCTCTGCTGACGTCAGTTTGGCGCCGGTGACGCGCTTTTGGAACCGCGAATGTATCATAGTGAAAAGGCGGAGAGCTTTCGAAGGCAAGAAGGTACAAAATAGTCCGCTATATTTTCAAATGTTCGTACCGAAAAGCTGGCTTTTGACTTTCTAGCCTCTTTCTTTTGGCCAACTATACGATATGCGATTAGTAAAGTCCCAATTTAAGATCATTCATCAAAACCCAAAATTCGTTTCACGGCCCCTTTAAAAATTTTAACCGAATCGGCCCAAATTTAAACTCTGTCCGTTTGCACTACCAAACCATGTTAAGCCACAAACGGCACGTGACACATGTTGCCAGGGAGCCGAATTTCTGAAGAATTGCCAGGACATAGAAGCACTTACGAGTTGTGAACGCCGCTGCACGTTCCGACCGCCGTGTATTCGGAGGCTTGGCAGCAAAGTATGTACCAACTCGCTCAAGCCTGAACTTTAGGATGGTGGATTTCGTCGCCTGCCTCTTCGCTCGTTTAGCTGCTTCCTTCCGCTCCCTTAGTTCGTCTGCAGTGTACTGGCGCGGACGGGCACGTTTCGTTACTGCCGAGGTTGCGACCTCCGACGATGGAAATGACTTAGGCGACGCCATGTTCCTCGGCGCCGAGGGGAGCAGGCCAGACTTGCTAGAAACAGCGTCTCATCAAACTGGGGGAAAGTAAGCACTGCCAAAGCCAGTGCACGAGCCAGTGCGCGAGCGTCTTGCCGCGTCTCAAGACGCTCGCGCGCACCAGCCTTTGCAATGCTTTCCTTTACCTTTTCTCAGGTTTCACGCCGTTTTAGCAACCCGACCCAGAAACGGCCGAAGGATCCGCCCCACCCCTCTCCTCCCCGGCAACGCCTGACGCGAGAGCAGCGGCCGAGCGCGCGCTCTCGTGAAGCGGCCGCCAATGGCTATTCAGGAGCCGTTCCGCTCAGCCAATGGGAGAATGGGCATTTCTTTCGCGCTTTTTCGCGCTTACAGACGCCGCCGGCTACGCTCCATGGGATAGGTAATGCTTTCGCATTAATATATTCCTTTGTTTTGATGATAAGATGAAGACCGCCACCCTATTCCATATATTCGCATATAATACATATTTTTAGAAAACAACCAAGCGTGAGAACTGCGATTCAAACACTTGCTTATATCGCCTTTTTTTTTTATGGCCGCCGCGGGGCCCCAGCCTTGAGGCTAATAGCCGCGTCCCCCTAGAGCGACACACAGAAACGAACGACAGCGACCCACGATAACGAGCGACAGACGACACCGACAGACAGCCTGTCTGTCGGAGTCCGCCATCCCACTTCGCGGACACAACGCAGAATACGGGGACAAGAAAACTTGCTTCCTACTGGGACTGGACTTGTCAACAAAACACTTCGAAATACCCAGGCAAACAAAATATGGCGACGCAGTATTCGTGTTTTCCTTTTTGGGCGTAAAACGTGCCGAGAAACACGGTGAAAGTGGAGACGATTACTTTATTTCTTGATTTAGGTTTCCGCTTGTCTTCATTTTTCGTTGGCGACTTTCCGCAAACAGTCGACACCAAACTTTTTCCGAACTGCAACTTCCGAATCGTTCCTTTTTTGAGTCGTTCGAGGCATTCTAGGTGAGCGTCACGAAATTTCACGCCGATTTTTAGGATGTTTTTAACTTCATATTCAAATAATCGAGGGCAGGCGCTTTTTTGGGGGGACAATACGGCAGCTCGATCATCACAGAACATGATGACAAGTCTCTCGTCTGCCGGAATGGCTTGCCGCGGAACGTCGTGTCCTACTTCGTGGTGACCAGTCTTACTTTTTTGTTCAGTCCTCGAACATAGGTGTATCCATCCTGATGTAGGGGCGTAGACCTTGGCGTCTCGAAACACCACCTCGCGCACCAAGTTTTCGCGAGCAAAACCAGCCACAGCAAATTTCCTTTCGCAACATGACCGCCAGCAAGCAAGTCGCGTCCGCTACCACTATGAGCAATCGAGGCACCGGAACTGCGGGAACGATCAGTGGCCGTCAAGGACTTCTCAGAAAGGCGAGTGGCAGAACGAGCCACGGGAGGAACGGGAGGAAGGGTAGATGGGTGGGAAGAGAGGGAACAGAAGGCACAAGCGGGCGAGGAGGATAAATTTGTCTCCGTGAGATTTTCCTCGGTGGGACTGCTTGCTGCGCTTCAAGTCGAACGACTGACAGTAACTCGTCCGTCGTCGATCGTTTGCCGGCGCTTGTCGGCGTTTGTCGCGGAACAGCGGAACAGCATCAGCGACACGGAACTTTGTGTATCGCTGGACAAAAATCGGTGTTTGTCGCTTTAGTGGGACGAGGCTATAAGACCTCACGGCGGACACGAAAAAATGACAATATAGGTGGGTGTTTAAATCGCAATTATCAGGCTTGGTTGCCTCCTAAAATATTTATTATATGCGAATATATAGAATAGAGAATTGTTTTCATCTTGATATTAAAATATATATCAGTATATTAGTAATTCTGCTCGCTGGGAGCATGCGAAAAGTGGCGTTCTTGGCCGTACATGGTTTGGTAGTACGTGGTGGTAGTTGGTGGTGGTAGTAGGTCGGAGTTTACATTTGGACCGAATTGGTTAAAATCTGTAAGAAGTGTAGACAAAGAGTGCTTGCTATGCATATCGTAGCCTTTTTTTTTCAATTTCGTCCTACATTAGGAGATATATGCTTACAAAATGGGCTTAATAGTGTAACTTAGAATAATATCTACAATAACTGCTCGGTTTATACGTCTGAAACTTGTAACAGTTACTATTAAGTATAACCTCAAAAAGCGTGCCAAATGTCATTAGGAGGGATGCTCAGTGCTTGTTGCAGGGCTTGCGTGAAAAATAATAAAATGGCGAAACTAGGGAAAGAATGTTTCGTAGCACAAATGGACCACCGTTAGTTTTCAACATAAGGTATCCGAATTTCTGGGAGGCAAACTTAAATATATGCTCGTATGCATATCGTGGCTTCTTTTCGAATGTTGTTTTTAGTTTTTTTTTGAAAATATCTTTAACTGCAGAAAAATAATGCACCTTTTTTAGACACGAAAAGGTAATCTTAATATAAATGTTTCAACGCTTAAAAGATAATGTCAGTGTAAGCATGATAGATTACTATCGCATACACGAATTAGCAGCTTCTTATTTCAGTAAACGTTGATAAATTTCGTCTAAAGTCAGCAAAATCATAATCGCAAGTTCTTTTGGAGTTTCATGGCCGATTGTGCCATCTGTCGAGTTGTGACCAAAATTGAAGACCTACTTCTTCAGGAAAATTTCTAGGGTGGCGATGATTTGGTACTTGACATCTAGACGCTCTTAAGCAGGTGTGCATGGACGCAGCCATGACCGACATTCACTTTCTCCTCCTCTCCTTTTGTACGCTTCACTTCATTCCTGACTTCGCGAGGCTGCTTATTGAGCTCCATTCACAACAGCGTTTTTCCTAAAAGTCTTGGCTTGATTCATTGTTACCCATTTTTACGGCTGGCCATCTTATTGTGCGGTAACAGAAAGCCAGTTGTTGTCGCTCAAATCTGACGCTCGGGGAAAGGGTCCAAGAAAACCCTTACCCGTGAAGTGCGCTACCAAAAGCGTTGCACAATGGGCTAAATTCTCCCTAGGTCGTCATTCTTTTGCATAATTTCTCTTTTATTTCTTTTTTAAATAAAAGCAATGTCAGACGACCAACTTTGACGGTATTAGTTTAATAATGCGACGACTCCCCCAAGCTTCAACTGTACGTTTTACACCCACAATCACCCTGGTGCTTTGCAAGTAATGATAAGCAGCCAGGATCACAACTCCTGAAGTTTCCTCTCGCTTGTTTGTCGTTCTTGCAAGTGCCCGCAATAATTTTTCGCAATCAAATTAAGCGATATGATTAGCGCTTCACTGCCATGTTCTTTTATGACCGGGCTAGAGAGCAGCATTGCTTGCGGCCTTCACTTTCACCTAAGAGCAATGGAACTCTTTAGCCGCGTGGGGGGGTGCGACCACACTATCTTGCCAAATACTACCCGAGCCATCCTGAAAACTGCTCTTTGATCACCGCGATTGAAACATGTTTGGTCTTATGATATTTATAAACGCTTGTTTTTACGACGCCTTTCCTAAGGAGACGAAACGGAAGAGTTGTTCCGCATAAGCTCCTGCAGGCCGGCGACCTCCATGGCCTGTGTGCCTAATTACTCCAGGAACTGCTCCAATTCAACCCCGGAGCAAAGAGACCAACACGGTAAGGTGGACGTGCCTCTCAGAAGAGGTTAAGGCGCGGTCAGAAGGAACACTTATTTGCTTCTCGTCGTCGTCGTCTGCGACTCGTGGCGTAGATGCACGTCCACATATAATCCCAGTCCACCACACTCTTTGTCTAATGTTGCGTGCAGGAGACACTTTAAACCGGGGAATTATGGACCGAGATACCGGATAAAGAACCCAGTCCCTGGATTCGCGCTCATGGCATTCGATGGGTCTTCGACAGACCGAATGCCTCCATCCAAGAAGACCTGAAAGGAAACCCTTTTGAAACACTGGGCTTTTGCGCCGAGAAAAATAAATGGAAAGGAAGATGTGTTGGCTCCCCAACAGGATTGTGAGCAGACCGAAACGCTCTTGGATGCAAATGATGGCGCAGAACTAAAATGAGCCGGCTTCGAGCGAATGCGACTCAGCGCTCGCTCTAGACACGCGTTAAAAAAAGACGCGAAGCGTTAACTTTATTAAAGACCGACGACCAGTTCGCGCTTTCCACTTTTCGCCCGCTTCCTCCTCTCCCTCCTACCCTTTCCACCCACGCCCGGCCCTCTTGGTCCCTTCTTTCCATCCTTCGCTTCCCTCGCCCGAAGGCGTGGAGAGGAGGGTCTTCTGCCTTGCAGAATCTCGAGTCTGGTCGTCGGCCTTTAAGGGGCTTTGGCCTTCCTACTTTTCACGCTACTTCTCTCCATCGCAGATTTGGTGGCTGGTTCTGGCGCTGAACCCGCAGGCTTTCGCCTATCTAGGAGATCATGGCACGTTTTGAAGCCGCTACCTCGTGCTCCGAATCTCTTTCAGGAAATAAAAAAACAAGAAAGAAAACCCGGCACGTGTTCGCAACCAGTAAGAGGTTCGTCGCTCACCAATGTGGGCTTATCGCCGAATTCTTCGAGCTGCTTGGCGAAGTACTGGTAGAAAGACTGGTCCTCATGAAGCTCCACCTGGGGGTACGGCGAGAACACGACGCCGTCTTCTATGGTGGCCTGCAGCGGTGTCCCCGGCATCTCCTGGAAGAGCACGAGCACGCGCCAAAGTTACTACGGACGGCAAGCCCGTCGAAACGCGTCCCTCCGCGTATGAGAGAGGGAGGGACCACGCGTGCGACGGACGCGAAGAGGCTCCGCTCCCTCAGCTGTTAGCTATTCGGCGGTGGTGGTCGGGAGCAGACGACATCAAGCCGTGCCTTCCTCGCTCGTCGAAGCTCGTCTAATGCGTGCGAATCGACAAAAACAACCTATACACACTAAACATTGTAACACCGATAATCGTGTAAAAAGGGTTAAGTTAGGAAAAAAACACCCTTCTTTGACCCTTTTTACACGATTTCTGAATATCGGTGGGCGTAAGAAACATGCGCTGATGATTCGCACCCCGTTACACGCCATTTTTACTCCCACTTGTAGCGATGCTGTCAGAAATGTAAAAAGGGTGTAGGGGCAAATTTTACGCCCTTCATTCTCACGGTGTGAAAGGGGCGTAAGATGATGCAGTCGAATACACCCATGACTTCATAGCGGTTCATGTTTATTGGTTTGGTGAGACTGTTGCTGATGGTGCGCCGGTACAAACATCGAGTATAATTAGTCGCCACACGAAGTCGCGTATGATTAGTAACTGCTCGAAAATAGCTTTTGCAACTCCGATCGCACTCTCCGTCCAACACGAGCAGAAAGTTACGTGTCGCGCGTGCATCGATTTCATCCGTTCAACTTCGATTAAAAAAAAATCGTCTCCGCTCACAAAAGCTTAACGAAGACGTGGAAATATACAGCTCAGGCAGCACACACTCTTGCGCCGACATTGGCCTCCAATCAGAAAGAGCGTGCCGATACCATTTTGTTCCAGCCAATATCTGTGAAGAATGGCATGGGTCGCGCCGACGCCATCCTGACACCGTACGCGACGCCGTTTTTGGTTAAGTATCAAGAGTCTCCTTTGTGGATCGGCTATGCCGGCGAGGGATTTCTATTGCTTGACCGCCTCGAACTTGACGTAAAAAAAAAAAAAAAAAGGATTAAGCGAAACGGAATCTGCTTTCTTTTAGCCCGAGAATGACCTCCTGCGCTGAAGCTTTGAACAGACGCTGGCGCCCTCACTCCGGGTAGTACAAGCTCACCTTACTGGGCCTCGTGCTACTTATAGCACCTTTGTTGAGACTTTATCTTTCTGTGTAGTTCTGAGGAAACGGTGCCGCAAGACAATCGAAAGCGCCGGATTCATGATACCCCCGCTATAGATACGCGATTCTTATCTCTGCGTGGTGACACCAAAATATCTAGCGTCCAGACGCTTCTTTTTTCTTTTTCGGTTTTTCTTTGGAACGCGTGAAACCGCGTCTCTTATCACATGCTCTCAGCGTCTTAAAATGCCTCTGAAAAGAAAAACATTTTTTAAACAGTCTGGTCGGGACACGTGTGTCAAAAAATAAACTTTACGCGAAATTTTTTTTAGAGCAATATTGACTGCGCGAGACGCGATTTAGTCGGTTGTCACCCCGTTTCCATTTGTTTTCTCTCTCGGCATTTCGGGCGCGTGGAGGGGATCGGCTTCGCCTTCGCGTTGAGGTGGAAAGAGCGAATGACCATTCCGTAGCATCATGGACTTTGCGCGCAGAATTTCAAATAAGTCTCTCGCCGTCAATATTGCAGACAATATATATATATATATATATATATATTGTTCGCGTAAAATATATCGTCCTAACCATACTGTTTTAAAATTTTCTTCTCAGGGGCACTTTAAGGCCCCTACGCACATTTGCGTTTTAGAGCGTTTGAGTTCGTTTGACTGAGTTGCGGCTGCGAGAAAGCAGGACATCCCTGCTTCTTATGCTGCGTGCCAGGCTATTCCTTGAGTTGGGTTCCACGCTTCATGCAAACCACAGATGTGCCGGTTACTCGCTGTGGTTTCCCGGCGCAAGGCAGTCAAACGGACTCAAACGCTCTCAAATGCAGATACGCGTAGGGGCCTTTGGCTTTGACTCCTGCGTTGACGACGTAAAACTTTTTAAAATTTATTTTGTTATCTCGCGGTTCGCACCAGAGCAGGCACGCTTCTACATGAATGGCAGTTTCAGACGCTCAAGTTTGTACTGCCATAACCTCCTATATTCTGACAAAGCCTGGCAGATCGTCACAAGAAGCGGCCACCGATATTGCCGAAAAGGTAGAGCAGCACACAACGGATGAGAGGAGAGGTAGGTAACGGGCGCCCCGCTGCGGGGAAACGCCGAAACGCACTTGTCCCGAGCGATAGAACGTCCACTCTTGCTCCTCGCGTTCTTGGCGCTACCCCTTCTTTTCTCGTCGGCTTTGAAAACTATGTTTCGGGTCCACTGCAAAAGTTGTCACAGGTTCCCCGAGAAATGCCACGTAGGTCCGGTTTTCGAAAAGCGCTCTTCAGTGTTCTCGTGCATTTCGGGGTTGCAGTCACGCCCGTGGTTTTTCATCATGAACGGCCGATACATCCATGCCAACGTTTCGGTAATTGGCGTTTTCTTTCTCGGAGTCCATGGAAATATTGTGCTGTGTTTGTAGGACGCGCTTCGACAAAGAAGTGCTCATCGGCGACAGTGAAACTTTTATTGAATCTGGAGGACCTTCTTCTCGCTCGACTCTGTTTTTGCGTTGCCCTGTGCTGCCCCAGTTGGATTATGCATCTATCACGGATGACATTATATCGCTGTCACGGATGTATCACGGATTACATGATATCGGCAAGCAAGCTACTGATAGTAGTCCTGCTTCCGTCTCTAGAGAGTTTTAGTATATCGTTCTGACACCTTCGATATCCCGATAACGGTACAATGTGTGCGCAAAGGCGGCCGCGGAGTATCGGGTATCGTTTTCGAAGTCATCGAAACCATCTACTAAAACTCTCTATCTCCACGGTCCTTCGCGTTTGATTTATCAATTTCGCTAGGCATGAAAACAGTGTAATTCGATGCATGCATATCCTTTTCGTTCCACTGAGTGGTATCGCTTTTGTAAATGTCTCAGGAACAGGCTGTTTGTAACGATACTGGGTTAATAAACTTCTGTGAGAGATTGAAAACAATTACGTTTGTCTATGAATGCGTGCGAGCTGCGCCACGTAGGCGTGAAAATCCGATGTTGCCGAATAAAAGCGATCGCATCGTCGATATCCGGTTGATACAGAACAGTTGCATATGCGACATCTGCCGGATAGGGACAAAAAATTGGGACCACACTATACGTCTCAAAACCTTCTGATCGAGACAGTGTTGTGCTGTCCCAATTTTGTCCCAACAACACTTTCTCAAACTTTTTGAGACAGTGCCGTGTTGTCCCAATTGTTTGCCAGTAGTCTCGTGGTTTTTCACCATGCCCTTTTCTGCAGTACACCCTTTTGGAAGGGTCTACTGCTGCCATTACACCCCAAGTAAATTTTTGTAATGCAGAAACACACCTTTTTTGTAGGGTGTACTGCTGCCATTACACCCTTATAAAATGGCCCAGAGCAGGGGTGGCTAGAGTGGCATGAGATAAGAGCCGCAAACAAAAACTACAAAAGTTCCGAGAGCCGCAGGAAAGAAAAAAAAAGGGGGGGGGGGAAGGGGGGGGTACTTTTAACAAGAAAGGATATTGAAGGAACAGTCCTTCACAAAGGGGAAATATAATTTTGGACTACGAGTAACAACCGGCAGCAGAAGGTTTCTTCAACAGCTAAGCAAAAAAGAATACAGGGTTCGCTAGCCAGCCATTGCCCCTGACGCCCGTTATGTGTATGCGGTTCATAATTATTTCTATAACAATAAAGGAAACAGGGCCACTGGACACAGCTATGCGTCTAAAAGCAGTTCAACTGTATGCACGTAGTATAATATAAAGGTGCCGAGACTGGGAGCTTTCTTTTTTTTAATTCAGGAACAATTTTTGTTTTGGGCCACAGGAGGGGAAGGGGGCACGCTTAGCAGTAGAGTCCCGCGCAGATAACAGTTGGATCAACCGCTTCCGATCCGCATCCACAGACTTTGTATCCGCATCCGAACCGCATCCGGGAAATTCGGAATTGCATCCGACCTTCAATCGGCGTATTCATTTTACATGACGAAATCAGGCATAAACAAACATTTAAGAAAGCATTTGGATGGCACCCTAGAAGCCGTACGCATACCTATGAACAAATAACTCTCCGTGTCAAATAGCCATTTTATCGTACATTATTTTATCGTATTTATTTAATGAGCGATCATCCTTTCAGAGACACTTCGCACCGCTGGAAAGATGATCGAAGTCATGAGATCGTCTTAGGAGCTCGTATCACTCTGTCCAGAATATGCGCCCAAAAGGAAACAAAACAAAAAACAAAACCAGTAAGAATGTGAAATAGTTAGTGTGTAGGTGACTGGTGCAAGACCAAAAAACTCCGCCTGGTCCTGCAGGACCAGGCGGATTGATACCCTGGTTTGATACCATGGTATTCAACCAGGGTACTCTCCATTTCTTGTGGAGCGCTCTACCATCTGAGCTAACGAGGCGTTAGACGTCAGTAGAGCAAACGGGTTTTATTGGCTGCCACCAGTCTAACACCAACATGGGTAAACAGCCCGCATTTTAAGGTTATGGTGACAATGCAATTAATGCGAAGATGCACGCGAGCTAGACAAGAATTACGATAAAAATCCCCGGAGAAATAAATCAGGTGGACAAAGGACAAACACAGAGCTCCAAACACAGGTAGGTGACTGTTGCGCGACCGAAAACATCCGCCTGGTCTTGGTATCGAACCAGGCACATTTTCATTTCCAGTGAAGCGCTTTCCCAACTGAGGTAATCAGGAGTTAGACGTCAGTAGAGTAAACAGGTTTTATCATTCCCCTTTTTGACAAAAGAGGAATGCCTTTGTCGGGATCAAAGAAAAGAGCGACCGCCCAGTTGGTGTTCTTTCTGTTCTGTCTCCTAGGCGTGCGAGTGTCACGCGCCACCAACACATCAACTTTTATTTCTTTAGTAGGCTAGCGCTTGGTTCTCGTGGAATCTGGGTC